ACGCAACTTTGATCCTAATATGTCACCTCTCTACGTCCCTGGCTCCAACCAAGAAGGTTTCTCGTGAAAGGAAATTCAATTGTACTACTCTAGCTCGGCATCGAAATACAGTAATCGCGTTATTGCCACCTCCTCCATCCTTAAGAACCAAATCACACGCCCGTCATCTACCTAGTCCTTGCATGTATACAGATCGTTCTATTAGTAATTGCAGTGGCAGCACCTACATAGTGGGCTCCCGAGGCTACCAACGAACGCATGATGTGGAAACCACCGATCCTAAAGATTGCGGCGGCAGGTGTAGGGCGTCCGGTCGTGATACTTTGCTCCGGGTTTGCATCGCCACTCCTAGCCCCGCCTGCCGGTTTTCGATCGGTTCTTCCAGATGCTCACAGCGGCCGCCATTGTGACCCACACTAGGCCAAACAACACTGCAATAAAAAAGACGGTACACCAGGTTGGTGATATCGAAGCTCTCCAAAGAATCAGACCTGCGACGAATTGTGCAGCGGCTATGTACGCCATAAAGCTTGGTGCCCATAGCAAAATCGGAGTCCCACCAGTACTAGTGGCGAAGTCTTTTTCAAATCTATCTTGGTATGCAAAGGACAACAGTGTAGCGACTACAAGCTCCATCGTGGATGTTATGGTTGCGCCTACAAGGAAGCTCGTCGCCGCGAGTAGGGAGATCTTGTCTTCTTCTACTTTTGCGCCTTCAAAGATCACCGTGACAAGACTCATAGCGCCTACAAGAGCGGAAATACCGTTAACGATTTTGAACTCAGCAAGAAGTTTGCAAGCATTTTGATGCAGTTTTTCAGTCATCATTGATTCCTTTCAGTGACCTTGGTGTGTTAACCAAAGACCCAATATTGCGACATGGCGACTGGGCTTTATATACGACTTCGCCAGCTATTAGATAACGCTACAAACAGCAGCTCAGTCTAAAATAGCATTCGGCTGGCGAAACTGAGGTCAAATAATTTTCAGGTTCGCCTTCGTTTCGCCGCCTAAAATAGCAAATCGCGAGCAGTATGCAAGTAATTGAAGCTGAAATTGACCGTACTTCAGCGAATAGACGGGGAACCGGTACAGAGAAGAAGACAAAAACAGACCAAGAAAGCATGCGCAGCGTTTCAATCCTATTGTAAAAAGAAAAGTATAAGGATGTATATTTCCGAAAAGAGAACCTTCCAGATTTAGAACATGGCTTAAATGGACGATACAGACTTTGTTTAAAGCATAAACGTTGAATCAACCTACTGTAAGGAATGCCAAGTTATTGTAGGAAAAAAGCGGTTCCTCATCTTTTACGCGTCTATATAAATAGATCATATTCTTGTACATCAAAGACATTTCGGGAAGACAGTTAATCAAGGACGGACTGTAGAACAGGACATAAAGCATGTGCTGCGCCAGTATTTCAGCATCGACGACGACACAATATATCATTCGTCTACCCTACTCTTCATTTTCTCAGTACAGTATGACATCTCAAATACTTCAGATTCTTAGAGGTATGTTCCAGAGGACGGCACTTGATCCTTTCTCTCAGGGATATGTCAGACTTGGCAGCGAAGGTCCTCTTGCCGAAACCCCACGAAGCAGTCCTCGCTCATTTGCTTCCACGGTACCCAAGCTTGTTCCTCGTTAACAGGATATCATACTGGCCTGGAAAACTTTGGTTTGCAAGTTAAGACTCAGACCTCCTTCATTCCATACGCCGTGTCTCATGGTCGATAGTATTGCATTGTGGCCATGCGCCTAACAGTGTTAACCCAAAAGCTAAGCTGCGTATGCCCTCTAGAGGTTGGTCCTATCTTAGGGGTCATCGATTATTTATGGGTGGGTAGGAATCATTCATACAGTGGCTGGCTTGTTGATATGAATATTTTCTTGAACATAGTCCCAGAGCATATGCCAAGTATGAATTACTTGGATGCAACATTCTGGCCACTTGGTATTGTTTCGAAAAGATCTCGTGGAAAAGAACGCGACCATGGCATTCACAAGTTTGTTTTCTCATGTCAGCGTTGTAAATTACTATCAAATAGAACATGCGAGAATAAAAGCCTATTTGGATTCTCCCGATACAACTTCCAAACTCCAGTGGACCATGCTCCCCTCTCATTTCCCTGCACTGAGTTGGGGATGCTCTAACTCTGAACCGTAATTCTCTTTTTCGCGCTGTGAGTGAAACCGAACCAATAACTTTGGCTTCTTCCAAGTCATGTGGAATCTCACGTCGTCAAACCATTTGACTTCCTGGTTGACCCACTCCCAGTCGTATGGGAACACTGTTTTGGCAAGAATAGTCCTTGCCTCCATGTATGCAAGCTTGATACCAAGGCAAGCTCGAGGTCCGATAGAAAATGGACGGCTGGCATCGAGACAATCTCCTGTGCCATCTCCAATCCAGCGCTCAGGTCGAAACTCATCTGGGTTGCTGAAATTACGTACGTCATGTGACATGACAAAGTTATCGACGGAGACGATAGTCCCTGTAGGGATGGAATATCCATCAATCACCGCTCCAGGAGGACACACGCGCGGAAGGCCAAAAGGAGCAGGCGGAAGGAGACGAAGGCCCT